TTTCATACAGGCTTTGCTCTTCCAGCTGTAATGATAACACTGAACAGGAACCTGGTGCCGACTGTCTATTCGAAATCTTGCCAGAGTTCTGAGCTTTCCTTGACCAAATCTAACAGGCCTGGAGAAGGTCAGTGAGTTCTGGCGTGTGCAGGATTGACCACTGTTAAGGCACTCGATTAATTTCATTAACATAGTGACGGTATTGATATAATGTCAGCATCTGTTTTTCCTCTGGAGCAGTTCACAGTGTTGCAATGCTGTAAGGACTAATTTGTTTGAAAGATGTTTGATGGGATTTAAAAAAGCATTTTCCACTGATACAATCAGCAGGGCATTTAATGATGTGTGGATTTGGTAATCATTTTAAGTGTCCGGTAATAAGGAGCTCATCCGGAACCTGATTGAGATGATGCATCTGGGTCCTTTTCACAATTCGCTAAAATAGATCGATAAGCCAAAGTCTGGTCAAAAGGTTAAGGAAAGGAAATATGGCAGGGTTCCAGCATAAATTACAGGAGGCAAATTTATTGCTTAATTAAACAAAAGATCCAGTAAAACAGTGCTCGTATAAATGGAGTGTTCAAGATAGCTTTGAATTTTCAGGTCTCCATTGTAAATGTTCCTTATGGACACAGCTCTGATACATTCATAAGTGAATGAACTTGTGTACATGATAAAAGATTCCTCACAGGCCAGATCAATTCAGATTTATTTAGGTTACATTTTTACAAAGAAATTAATTGTTTTCAACATTCCTTTACAAAGAAATTAAGATGTTTGGCATTGCCTCAAATTATGCAATTTTTTTTAAGAAGTAGAGAATTCTGGAAGAGTAGGAGGTCAGTCACGCTGTCCTGTCTGAAAAGGTGCTATCCAGCCTAATGCCACATTCTTTCTGTTCATTTATCAACATAGTGGTTTTTTATAAGTGGACTATTGCTGTATTGTAAATTGCTGTTACTCCTACAGTGCAGTATTCACATCGTTACAACCCAATAAGGATTAATTTGTTGAAAACTGTTTGGAATTTAAGGAGCCATTTTCCAGTGATATAATCAGCAGGAGGTTTTCAAAACACAGTGAGGGTTTCTGCTTTTTCAAGGCAGTGAGTTCTTCTTTGATTTCCCTGAGCTAGCTACTGTGAAGATGGTGGTGTTAAAGATAGTGACCGTGAATTTTGAAATGCGTGCTTTTATAAATGGGTTTGAGAAATAGGGGTGTCCAAGCTTTTGAAGCCATAAGGAACTGATGGCTCGTGTGAAGGCTGTTAAGTGAATTAAGCACAGAGATTGCTGGAGAAGCTCAGCAGGTCTGGCAGCATCTGTGGAGAGATAAACCGAGTTGATAACGTGAGCCCAGTATGACTCCATATAGTCACTACATTATGGAAGCGGGCTGTTTGGCCCATTGAGTCCACACCAACCCTCCAAAGAGCAACCCATCTCTCCCACCCTATAACCCTGCATTTCCCATGGCTAATCCACTTAACCTACACATGCCTGGAATAATTTAGGAATAATTTAGCATGGTCAATCCACCTAACCTGCACATCTTTGGACTGTGGGAGGAAGCCCACACAGACACAGGGAGAATGCGCAAACTCCACACAGACAGTCATCAGAGGGATTGGGATACAATTAGGGGCAAGATGGGCAGGTAAGAGGATACAAAAACAAAGTTGCTGGAAAAGCTCAGCAGGTCCGGCAGCATCTATGAAGGAGAAAACAGAGTTAACGTTTCAGGTCCGGTGACCCTTCAAGGTAAGAGGATAGCTTCTGATAGCCTTGCCTCCATCCTCCGTGACCTCACATTCCCCACTAACCTCACCTTGTAACCAGAAGGGGAAGAAAGAACACACCACCTCACTGCTACATCCTCCGAGGAATCCAGCAGGCCTTGACCAAAGGACTTTGGACCGTTGATTGGCCCGGCAACGTCTGCTGACCCGGAATGCCAGTGTCGAGGCCTGCGATTGGTTGAGAAACTCACCTGCGCTGTACCTGTCAGCTTTCCGCCAGTTGATTAGCTGGAGATTAATTCACCTTATCTCAGAGGGTGGGGTTGACACATTAACCACTGTCTAACCCTCACTCCCCAAAACGGAGTGACTGCAATGAAAAATACTGATGCATCACGTCGTCCCACACAGGAATTAATGGTACTGATTCTGTTACACCTTACTGAGACTGTCTGAGTGATTCCATTGTTAAATACCTGAACTGCAATGCTCTGAATTTAATTGGATGGTGCTGACATTGCGATTTGAATTAAGGGAGCAGATAAGAGAGGAATAGAGGAATTCTTGAAAGAGTAGACTGGGGGCTCTTGAGGTGCAGTGGCAGTGTCCCTGTCTTTGGATTAGAAGCCCCACCTGCCCCAGAGCTGCATCAGTACATGCCTGAGCAGGTAATTAAAAATACCAAAAATCAGGTAGTTCTCACAGTCTTACAACACATTTGTACTTATTATAGCCTTTGTGCACAGTGTGAGGCCCCACAGAAATGCTGTTGTGTGGCATGTAAAGCACAGGTGTTGGATAATAAACTGACTCGAACAGTTACTGCAAACTGTCTAGCTAACATTAATATTGGGTTAATTAAATGTTACCTGTTGCTCTTTAATGATATCATTTTCCTGGTTAAATACTAATAACTCATCCCTCATATTTAAGGCTTTCCGGTTTTTGGTGAGAGACATGATTGTATTTTTAATTCCAAGGGTTTAACGTTTTCTGCAACTTTGCTGAAAAGTAATGAAGCAACTGAATTGAGTCTATTATTTACATGTGTACCAAAACAATTGCAATAAAGGAAGGGACTCCGCACTACCACGTGCTCAAGGGCGACTGGGAATGGACAATAACAAATAGGAACAGGAGTAGGCCATTCGGCCCTTTGAGTCTTCTCCACCATTCAATAGGATCATGGCTGATCCGACGTTCCTCACAAACACTTTCCCGCACTTTCCCCGTAACTCTTAATTTCACTACCAATGGAGGGTCTATCTAACTCAGCTCTAAATCTAGCTCTAATTTAACGTATATATTTACTCTGCCCCTCTGAGAGAAGAAATTCCTTCTCATCTCAGTGTTAAATTGGCGCCCCTTTATTCTGAGACTATTCCCACTAGTCCTAGACTGTCCCATGAGGGGAAACATCCTCTCAGCATTTACCCAGTCAAACCCCTTAAAAATCTCAAGTGCTTCAATGAAATCACCTCTCATTCTTCTAAACTCCAGTGAGTAGAGAGCCAAGTTGTTTAACCTTTGTTCAGAAGATAATCCTCCATACCAGGGATCACCCCAGTGAACCTTCTCCAAACTGCTTCTAATGAAACGATATCTTTCCTTAAATAAGTACTCACTTCCCAAGAGCAAATAATAATAAACAAAAAAAATTGTTTTTCTGTTTCATTTCAATTTAGTCCATGGTTGCCTTCTGCTCTCGGCAACATGGATTCCTGATGGAGGTTCAGTTTTAAGGAGATTGAGCACCTTCTTGTTCCCCGTACAGATGGTTAATCCTCATCTGCGGAACTAAACATGTGTGCTTTGGCAGCTCTTCCAACCTTGAGAGAGATCCAGAGTGAGGTGGTTGACTGAATAACCCCTTGTTGCCATTCACGGGGAGGCGATGGCCGAATGGTATTATCGCTGACTGTTAACCCAGAGACCCAGGTGACATTCTGGGGACCCGGGTTCAAACCCTGACATGGTACACGGTAGAATTTGAATTCAATAAATATCTGGAATTAAGAGTCTAACGATGATTGTGAATCCATTGCCAATTGTTGGAAAAACCCATCTGGTTCACTAATGTCCTTTAGAGAAGGAAGCTGCCAACCTTACCTGGTCTGGCCTACATGTGACTCCAGACCCACAGCAATGTGGTTGACTCTTAACTGCCCTCTGGGCCACTAGGGATGGACAATAAATGCTGCCTGGCCAGTGACGCCCTCATCCCGTGAATGAATAAAAGAATTCACTGATGCCAGTGCTGTGGTGCTTCACGGGGCTAACATCTCTCAAACTCCACACAGTTATGGTTTCACTATCTATGAAAGGATGTAAATTCATTGGAGTTGGTTCAGAAGAGGTTTACTAGATTGAGTCTTGGAAAGAACAAATTTTTTATCAATGGGAGATCAAGGATCGTGGGGAGAATGCACAAAAGTGGATGCGAGGAGTGTTATCGATCAGCCATAATTTTATTGAATGGCAGACCAGGCTCAAGATTCCAAACGGGGCAGATCATCTGGTCCAGCGACACACAGAATTATCTGTCCATTCAGTTCCTTCTGTTTTATATTTTGAATTCACTCACTCCACTTGATGGATGTCACCGTGCTTTTCTTGTCTATTCAAGACTATCGTGTAACCTGATTCCAGCCTCTTGCCCACGGCCCCCTTGAATTGAGTACTGACAGGTGCTCACTGCAACTTTTCCCTTTCAGTAGACAAACAGTACAGTCCACTTGGTATCTCCTCCCACAGGCGGAGGGGTGCACCTGTTCTGTGTGTCTCTGCTGTGGCAGTGATAAATGGTGTGCTGGAGGGGTCATGAGCATCTAAATATGCAACCGCACTGGTCCAAAGCACTGTTCCCAGCAAAAAGGACAAGGCCTCTTCAATATGCACATAGTTCATAATAAGCTTAAGCTAGAGATAAGCAGACCCAAAATATTGGGACTCTAGGAACCTTTTTATAGATATCTGCAACTATTTTTCTGCACAACCTAGATTTTGTCCAGTAGACATTATGACAAGTAATTTGAGCAAAATCTGACCATCCCTCCCCTTTGGGCTGTTAGTATACTGAGACAAGACTTGATTAAATGGTTTGGAAAACATTTAATCATTTCTAAGTTACAGTTGACTGCCAATATTTGTGGTTCTTTGTTCTTTTTAGCTCCCTGTTTTCAAAAGCTAGAACCCTTTAGCACTGTATAGAAGGTAAAATCGCTGCCTTACTTTTAAAGCTTTGCTTTCTGTCCTAACGCAGGTGAAAGTGGGCTTGGAAAGTCAACATTAGTAAACACCTTGTTCAAGTCGAAAGTCAGCCGGAAATCTTGCACACCCAACTTTACAGAGAAGATTCCCAGGACCGTAGAGCTGCAGACTATTAGTCACGGTACGTTTTCTCCGAAACCACATTGCAATGTCACTGGAGTGCAGAATCTTTCTGTGTTGTGCCCTGCAGCCATGGAGCTTTCTGCCATGATGCAATCATAACATTAGTGAGGTAGTACTACCCAGATGATATAAAACTGGAAATCACTGTGGCTGATGTCTCCAAATTAACAAAACAACTTGTATCAAATTCTTCTTGCCATTATTTTAAAAAAAGCACTGACCCGTTTAAAATAAACATGCTAACACCTCTGTTGAAATACCGAATGGAGAAATTTGATATGGGTCCACTGATACTATCAATTACAATCTTTTAGATTGTATGAAAATGCTGAACGTATGTAGTTGGCAAAGCTTTTGGCTAAAGAGATACATTTGCATTTGAAGCAAATTATTTTACTCAACAGCAAGGGAATGTGATAAACGAAATTTAACTTTTGAGAGGGTAATATGATGCATAGATTGTTTTACAGCTTTGTTCAAATTATTATTTGTCACAATTGATATTCACTGCTAATTCAAAAGCTCAAACAAAGGGTGGCTGTGAATAGAGACAGGCCTCCTGTGGTGCTCAGGCTTTTTAGCTGAACTCTCTTCAGTGTTTTCTCTGCCTGCTGCAGAGCCAATGGCCATCAGGGTTTATTTGTAGAGAAGGGAACATAACGTAGACAGATGTGGATTAAGACCAAACATGCAGGAGTGAGAATGAGGGGAAAGAGTGAAGTTGATCCGGGGAGTGTGAAGTGACGTAGATAAATGGGATTAGTATGATCATGGTGGAAACAGGCCCTTCAGCCCAACACCAACCCTCCGAAGACTATCCTGCCCAGAGCAGTGGACAGTGGGAGCCTTTTTCCTCGGATGGTGATGGCTAGCACGAGGGGACATAGCTTTAAATTGAGGGGTGATAGATATAGGACAGATGTCAGAGGTAGGTTCTTTACTCAGAGAGTAGTAAGGGCGTGGAATGCCCTGCCTGCAACAGTAGTAGACTCGCCCACTTTAAGGGCATTTAAATGGTCATTGGATAAACATATGGATGATAATGGAATAGTTTAGGTTAGATGGGCTTCAGATTGATTTCACAGGTCGGTGCAACACCGAGGGCCGAAGGGCCTGTACTGCGCTGTAATGTTCTATGTTCTAGAGCCATCCCGCTATCCTTTCCCCGTAACTCTGCATTTCGGCACCTAATCTACACATCCCTGAATACCATGGGCAATTTAGCACAGCCAATCCACCTAACCTGCACATCTTTGGACTGTGGGAGGAAACCGGAGCACCCGGAGGAAACTTGCACAGACACGGGGAGAATGTGCAAACTCGACACAGACAGTCACCTGAGGGTGGAATCGGACCTGGGTTCCTGGTACTGTGAGGCACCACTGAGCCACAGTACCACCTTGGTTGTGTTCAGTATCATCAGAAAATGCCTGAGTCACAACAACCCCATTCTGTGTTAACATTTTATTCAAAGCCCCTTAGGTTGTGGGCTATTTTCAGTGTCACTTTTCAGTGGATCGTATGGCTTTGCCAATCTCAGCCCAATTCCTTTTGGGCACAGATTTGGTGCTTAAAACTGTTACAAGTTGATACTGAATCTTGCGGTGAGAGATTTTCGAATTGGCAGTGTGGGAAACAGAGAAAATAAATCACACTGTTCTGAAGATACTGCCCTGAGGCTGGGATTCAAAGAGATTGCAGGATCAGAGAGCCGGAAGCTTTACTCTCCATCTGACCTGTGCTCTCTGTGACCTGCTGAAGGTGACTGCCAACAGGTCACCAGCAATGCCTGAGTATTCTCTTCTCCAGCACAATCATCTGCTTTGTGAGCAGTAAGAAACACCAGGGGATTTCACATTTAAAAAAAAAAAAAATTGCTGAGTTTGCTCTTTACCTTTGAAGCAAGCCTTTCACTTCAGTAATGTTAAAATGCATTTGAAGTAAATATCCATCAATCCAACAAAGTTGTTTAAGCTAAATAAGAACCGAAAGGACTGCGGATGCCTTAAATCAGAAACAAAAAACAGAAGTTGCTGGAAAAGTTCAGCAGGTCTGGCAGCTTCTGTGAAGAAAAAAATCAGTTAACGTTTTGGGTCCATTCTGAGGAAGGGTCACCGGACCCGAAACCGTTAACTCTGATTTTTTCTTCAAAGTTGCTTAAGTTGCTGGGCTTCCTCATGTTTTGGCATTGTGTAAAATTATGTAAATATTACATTGTAAAGGCAGCTCCATTGCTGTGTTGTTTTGCCTCTTCCTGTAATCATATTATAGAATACAGTACTTGGTTAATGGTCATTGATTTGACAGAGAGATTTTGAGCTGGATATTTGATTGCATATTGCTCATTTATTGGAACCAGGGAGCAGTGAATCTAATAGTGTGTGTGTGTAGGCACTCAGACTGTACCAGAAGCGTCACATTGTTTAGCGCACTAACAGGTCATAGACCAGTGGCATGGGCAGGTTGGTGAGGTGGGGGATGGCAAGGAGTGTTGGCATAAAGCACATGGGTTGGGGTCTGTGTGGCCCTGCATTGGGGATTGTTGGGCACAGGCCTGTTTTAGGCTGATTCTTCAAACTGAATGGCAACATGCGCTGGGCGCGTTATGGTCTTTTCTTCCAGACACACCATATCCTCACCACCGATCTTTTACAGAGAGTAGAAGAATACTTGCCCGAATTGTACCCACTGATGCTTCCACCTTGGCATCAGTATGAAACTGGAGGCTTTACCAGTCTCCACCATAGAGCTAGAGGATCCCACCGAGTGTCTGTGCCAATGTCTTGTTCAGATTACGAGCCCTTTTTGGATCTCACCCAGCCCGGAATGAATGCATCTAAGCCTATTTGCTGGACTCCCAACACAGAAACATCTGGATATCCCCCGCTGTTATCTGTTTGGATTAATCTCAGTCCGTATAACACCAACTGAAAGGAAAGGCTTGTATTGAAGGATTTGCCATTATTTGTGAGGAGTAGTCAGGCCTGGTTGGGGGGTTGGGTTGGGGCAGGACGTGAGATTAGGGGCTTGTGGGGTGTTAGAGGAAGTGGCCAGGTCAGGACGTATCTGTGAGCTTCAGGGATTGCCTGGGGGAGTCAGGAGAGTACCCCGAGGGGCCAGGGGATACCGTAAGGAAGTTGAAAGTTCAGTGTGAGTGGTTGGGAGTTCAGAATGTAGTTACTCAGGAGTTAGGCCGGCCTTTACCTGTCTAAAATATCCTGGGTAAATATCCAGGAAAGTAATGCTGGGCCTGGGATCAGAGGGGTGGTGGCTGACTAACCGAGCCATCATTGACCTTGAGGTGGATGAGCAGCTGTACAATTCTAGCACTCCATTGGTATAGGCCGCCATTTCAGTCCCTTAATCATGTTGTAAACTCACATCTCAGGTTCTTGATGTTCGCGTAACATTGCACAGCAAAAGACGCAGCATTTCTGCAGGTGTCGTAGCGGCTTCTGCCTCAACTCCAAAAGAATTCCAGCGGCAATTCCCAAGAACAGAAGGGACAGTGCAAAAGTGGAGAATTCCCACAGAATTTCAGGACCGGTGCCTTTGTCCCGGTTGAGCAGTGCTGCGCATCACTTCAGTGCTTTCTCTCAGTGTTCAAGCTCTCCTCAACCATTGAGATGAAAGGGGGGTTGATACTGAGATGAGCTTCACACATGACTGCCTGCATTCTGACTGACTTTGTGGTTCCGAGCGTGCTTGCACCAACATGCAGGAGCCTGTTAGCTTATGAGACACAGCTAGTAGCTGTAATACTGCGGCAGGATCCATGTCACTCATCACTTAGCAATGCTGCCAGTTGTAAACCATGTAAGCTGAGTGTTTATGCAGTGCGTGTTTGACAGCCATTGCTGTTGTACAGACTCACTGCACATACCACCTACCCCCTGACAGGACGGAGAAACAGTCGGGTTCTGGAAATGCTCAAAGTCATGAATGATTCAGTCCGAGTAAACAAAGAGGAACTGCTTTCCATGGTAACCGGAGGGCACACGTTTACGAGGATTGCAGGAAGAATCAGTGGTGACATGAGGAAATCGTCTTTGTTTCTCACACAGTGAGATGTCATGATCTGGAATGCGGTGCCTGAAAGAACATTTGGTTGTAATGTTCGAAAGGAAAAGGGGACTAATACTTGGAAGAGGGAGAAAATTTCAGGGGCAGTGGGAGAAAAATAAGTGGAAATAAATTTTAAAAAACTAAATGGATAGTTTGACTGAAAAGCTGGCACAAAGTCAATGGGCCGAATGGCCTCCCTTCATTCTGTGATACAATCTGAAGATTGTCACAGATGGAGTGCTTCATCTGTACCATGGGCCGTACTGTTGTCACTAACTCTCACCAATTGAAAGCAGCAAAGGGATTGTTTAAAATCGCTCATACAGTCAAAACATTCAAATTATGCTGGAGTGAAATGCAAGAGGTTAACACCTATCTGTCCTCGTGATGATTACTTATCAATCTGCAATCCCTCCATGTTGTGTCTTTGTACAGCAAGCGGAATATTTTGCATTCGAACTCTGCTCTCTTTTGGCAAGATTTCCTGGTGGCAACAGTGACTGTTCCCTATGTTCTCAATGCACCAATTTCACGCCAACCATCGCGTCTCGCCAAACATCAAATCGAACCTCGGTACAAAACGCTGCCTAAATATAGCAGTGCAGGTTGGGAGTCACTGTACTAGACAGCACACTGTAATCTGTACTGCAGCATTACTTGAATTAATGCTGATCAATGAAATCACAATTGAAAGGATAAGAAGAAAATTGTTTTCTCCATGTCTAAATGGCACCAGCTCCAGTTTCATTGAAACCTTTAATCCTAGTCTGTTTAAGGAAACTCATTGAGCATTCTTTCTTCAGAAATGGAGACTCCAGCCTCAAATCAGTTGGAAATACCTCCTGCCTCTAAGGTTTTGGAGTAGATCTGTAGCTTGGGTTCTGGGTGTTGAGGTTGGTTGGCTCGCCGAGCTGGTTTGTTGTTCCGCAGACG